TTTTTTTTTTTTTTTTTGAGTTGGAGTCTCACTCTGTCACCCAGACTGGAGTGCAGTGGCTGCTCCCAGCCACCACAGCCTCGACGTGCTGGGCTCCGGCGACCCTTCCACCTCAGCCTTTCAAGTAGCTGGAACTACAGGCGCGTGCTACCATGCCCGGCTAATTTTTTGATTTATTGTAGAGATGAGGTCTCACTGCCCAGGCGGGTCTCGAACCTGCGGGCTCAGGCAATCCACTCACCTCAGCCTCCCAAATAGCCACCGAGCCCGGCTAATTTTTTGATTTTTATTGTAGAGATGAGGTCTGGCCAAGTTGCCCAGGCAGGTCTTGAACCCGTGGGCTCACGCAATTCACTCACTTCAGCCTCCCAAGGCACAGGATTACAGTCTGAGTCAGCGAGCCCGGCTTAATTTTTTTTTTATTTATTGCAGAGACAAGGTCTCGCCAAGTTGCTTGGGCTGATCTTAAACCTGCGGGCTCAGACAATTCACTCACCCTGGCCTCCTAAAGTGCTGGGATTACAGGCTGCACCACTGAGACCAGCAAAAAAAACTTTTTTAAAACTAGATTTCTTTTTTTTTTTGAATTGGAGTCTCACTCTGTTGCCGACTGGAGTGCATTGGCAGCCTCCACCTGCTGGGCTCTGGCGATCCTTCCACCTCAGCCTTCCAAGTAGCTGGAACTACAGGAGCGCGCTACCACGCCCAGCTAATTTTTTTGATTTATTGTAGAGATGAGGTCTCGCCAAGTTGCTCAAGCGGGTCTCGAACCCACAGGCTCAGGCAATTCACTCACCTCGGCCTGCCAAAGCACAGGATTACAAACTGAGCCACCAAGCCTGGCCTAAAACTAGATTTCACATAACAACCCAAGCTTCTTTTTTATTTATTTTTTATTTTTTTATTTTTTTTGAGTTGGAGTCTCACTTTGTCACCCAGACTGGAGTGCAGTGGCCGCTCCCGGCCACCACAGCCTCGACCTGCTGGGTTCCGGCAATTCTTCCGTCTCAGTCTTCCAAGTAGCTGGAACTACAGGCACGCGCTATCACACCTGGCTCATTTTTATTTATTGTAGAGATGAGGTTTCGCCAAGTTGCTCAAGCGGGTCTCGAACCCACAGGCTCAGGCAATTCACTCACCTCGGCCTCCCAAAGCGTGGGATTACAAGCTGAGCCACCAAGCCTGGCCTAAAACTAGATTTCACATAACAACCCAAGCTTTTTTTAATTTATTTTTTATTTTTTTATTTTTTTTGAGTTGGAGTCTCACTTTGTCACCCAGACTGGAGTGCAGTGGCCGCTCCCGGCTACCGCAGCCTCGACCTGCTGGGTTCCGGCAATTCTTCCGCCTCAGTCTTCCAAGTAGCTGGAATTACAGGCACGCACTATCACACCTGGCTCATTTTGATTTATTGTAGAGATGAGGTCTCGCCAAGTTGCCCCAGGCGGGTCTCGAACCCGTGGGCTCAGGCAATCCACTCACCTCAGCCTCCCAAAGGCGTGGGATTACAGGCTGAGCCACCAAGCCTGGCAACCCAAGCTTCTAAGCTTCCTTGAAGGAGCAAGTGCACAAGTGACAATACCGGACT